TCTTATAAGAAAGCCATAACTTAGACCTGGGTGTGAAGAAAGAAAAAAACATTCAAATGAGAAATATTGGAGAATAAAATTCCTGTCTTTTATCTAATGTAGCTGGCCTAACGGCCTATATTTTCCCTTACAAAATACTGTATATTGTTTATCACGTATCTTCCATGAATACAGGCAGAACTTCACACATCAATGTGCAATAGGAGATCAGAGTTTGTACTTCTTATAGTTACCCTTCCTGGACTTCTAGAAACCACAATGACCCAATTCCCTGAAAGGTTTTTTGTAGGTTCTCATCTTACTGTTTCAAATGTCAAAATTCCACCTCAAGAGGTATTCCATATACAAGCTCTATGGGTGACATGTGATTGATGGATCCAAGTCTTCATTCAACCCGGTCTCCTAATTTTATAAATTAATATTTTCTCCTTATTAGACTGCCTATTGTGTAAACATAAACCTTGTTTCATTTAATGCAGGTAGTCCTCAACTTACGACACAATTGATCCCAAAATTTCTGTTGAGACACATTTATTCAGTGAGTTTTGCCCCATTTGCCACAGTTGTTAAGTAAGTTAATAAACCAGTTGTTAAGTGAATCTGGCCTCCCCATTGACTTTGCTTGTCAGGTCACAAAAGGGGATCACCTGACACCAGGACACAGCAACGGTCATAACTATGAACCAGTTCCCAAGCATCCAAATTTTGATCACATAATCAGAGATTCTACAAAGGTCTTAACTTTGAAAAATGGTCATAAATCACATTTTTCAGTGCCATTGTAACTTTGAACGATCACTAAATGAAGTGCTGTAAGTCAAGAACTACCTGTGTAACATAAGACTCCTTTAAGTTGACTTCAACTTCTGATGACTTCAAGGAATGTTTGTGCAGCTTCTTAGCATTTGTTTGCCATTATTTTCTTCCAGGATGATTTTTGACTTCACAATCTAGCCTATTCTCTTAGTATTTCTTGTGGCTCCTATCCAAGTACTAAACAGGATTTGCCCTGTTCAGTTTCTGAAGATCAAGCAAGGATGGGTGTGTACTGCCATCTAGCTAGGATCCTTTGAGTTTCAAAATTGCATAATTTATTTAGACCAAGGGTAGGCATAGAGACTTTTTTTAAAAAAGGTTGGAGCCTGTAGGGGATGGGGAATTGACAAGGTGATCCAATGTATGTGGGCAGGGGCAGGGTTTTAAAGTTTGTGAGATTAGTGTTTTTGATGAACAAACTTAAAAGAAGACCTACAAACACATCCCAAAATGGAGTGATGGAGAATTGCTCTTCCTTTTGGTTTGCTACATTGGGCATTTTTTCTTCAGTTAAAAAATGGTGGGGAGATGGAGACAGGTTAGGGGTCTTCCCTACTTTCTTTGTATGCTGTCTCCTATTCTATTATTTCTATGTCTTTCTCCTAATTTTAATAATACCTCTTAATTTGGAACTTGGAACATGAGAGCAGACTTTTGACAATCTAAGGATTTTTCTCTTTCTATATAACTACCAGTATGACAAAGCAGAGACAGGAGAATATAGATGAAATTCAGTCAACGTGACTGAGAATTTAACCCAATAAATTGTTCTCTTCCAGATGGAAATATAGCTTCTTCTGGTTCCTCATCCTTAGATGCTACTGATCTGAATAATGGTCACAAATGTATATTCTAGCATCACAAGCTGAAACTCTTGCACTTTTATTTTATATTGTAAAATGTATAGTTTGCATTTATTCCTTTCCTGGTCTCCAGACTAGGAGTCAGTGAAGTTTGGCACTGATTTGTGTTTTTTCAGTGGGTTAAAATGGTTTAGTCGAGTGTTTTGTGGCATTCATTTTATTGCTTAAATTTCTCAAGTTTTCCCCAAAGGGCCCTAGGCTATTCATTTTTGGCGTATGATCTTGCTATAGTATACTAAGCATGGCATGACGCTCAAACCACAATAATTATACAGTTGTGACATAGCACATGTCTATGTAGCTTTGCAAGTGTATATTCTGCCAGCAAACTTGAAATCTCCTCCAAGCTGGTGGCCTCTATATTCTTGGCACTAAAATCTTAAATAATCTTCTTTTACAGCTATGAAGAAAATTAGCAGGTATTTTCCTAACTGGTGCATTTTATATAATTCAGCTTTTCCTCAATCTGGCACACCTCAAGGTAATGGGAGTGGCAGAATTCCCACCTCCTAGAAAACGACCAGGCTGGCTTAGGAATTCTGAACTCTGTACTGCTCATACATTTGGAGGGCACCAGGTTGAAGAAAGCTGTGCTGTGACAATTCTTTCATCCTGGGCAAAATGAGGCATGTAAGAATTAGCACATTCATGGGGTATGACAGTACGTAAGCCTTTGTCAACAGCAATGAAGCCCTATCTATTAAAAGGATGACTTTTGCTTTCCCTAAGAATCTGAAGGATTCTTATTTATTACACTTTTGGAAGACCATGAGCAACTGGCTGTCCCCCCCCAGATATTGGGCTAGGATGGGAATTCAGCTGTGAGGTTGTTTGGTCTGGTGCCTGCAGGAAGGGTGATTTTGCTTTTATCCTTGTTTTTATTTATTGTTGTGAGCTGCCTAGGATCAGTATACAAGTTAGACAATCATGTAAATTCTGAAAATAAGTGAATAAAGGATATAGTTTAGGCTGCAATCCCTCATACACCTAAGATTACACTCCAATAATCTCGATGGGTGCCTTTACCCAACACATTACCTCATAAACTTTCTTGATAAATATTAGCCCTAGTCAGAAACCTTTGTTTCTAAAATTTCTTCACCCAAAGTTCGCTCAACAGAATCCAAGACATTGGGTCTCAACCCTCATCTGAAATGTAAAAACAAGTTTTACTGAAGCAAGGACTATCACAACTTCCCTAAAGTTAGTGCCTTATAGGGATGTTTGGCTGTAACCTCTATAATTTCCAACCAGAACTGCTACTGTATATAATTGATATAGGTTATAGTCCAATAGACCAAAAGCAATAATTCCCAACCTGTGACCCAGGAGTAACAGGGAGTAATACAGATGGACCTGGTTACAATATATAAAATGGGACAATTGTAAATATTTGAGCCAAATATCCAATGGTTTGTTTTCACACAAAGAAGTTTTATTTCTCTATTTCTTTATTTAATATTCATATTATATTGTAAATTCTTACTGTAATTTACACAGATTCTTTGGAAACAGACAACAGCAGAAAAAGACCCAATGGTATTTCCACTTGTCTCTCTAGAGAATGAACAAAACAACTAAAAGCGTATGAGGGATGGTCTTCATTATAATGATCTTTCAAATGTCCTTTGACAGGTACTTTTTAGAGAAATACAAACGCTTTTAAAATAACTATGATTTTTAAGATTTTTAAACTTTTTTTTGTTGCTGTTTTTTGTTTTCTTTAATATTTAAGGTACTGGTATTTTGATGATTTCTACAGGTTTCATTTAATAAAAATTGGATGGTATCCTGAGAGCCATTAGCTATAAAGTGACAAATATTTGAAATAAATCAATTTGCAGAGGACTTATGAAGTTGCTTTTTACAACAAATGGAGAAAGGCTTGCCTCATTTTCAAACTATTGGCTGTTTAAGCTTCCATCTGAAGCCTTTCGTTCATCTCTAAGAGATTGAAATAGCATCCACTCAAGAGTCATTGACAAACTTGGAAGTTTTTTTTTTATTAAGGGTTAATCTCAGCACCCAGCTAGAATGGAATCAAGTTTGAATCTCTATATTTAATTTACTGCACTACTGATTCCCTTTTGCTTGCAACATGTAGCAGGTATATTTAGTTCTCTTCCTAACTATCTCTTCTCCTTGGGCACAAAGGTTTTCATTGCTTTTTATAGTTCCCAATAGTTGCTTTAATCACAGATGTTTTTCACTGCAGAAATTTTCTTATCTGTATCTGGGTCATTCATTTTCATGAGCGCATACCAAAACAGCTAATTTTATTATAGCATAGTCAGCCTACTATGTAAAACTCCTCAGGAAGTTTCCAAATAAACCCAAAAGAGAAATCTGGTTGTGGAAAGGAAAATACTCTAGAAACCAACCAACCTGGCACTTCTGCATTTCTTTTAAGGATGCATTAGATGGTACCTATAAGGATTATTCTGTTTTAGTGGTTTAGTTGATCAAATGCATTTCAGTCAATCTATAAGATGGAGAATCCTTTGTCTGAATGACTGTTAATCAAACAAAGCTTATAACATGCCTCCATTATGTAATGCAGGAGATGAACTTTATACTCTAAACCAGTGTTTTTCAACCACTGTGCCGCGGCACACTAGTGTGCCGTGACATAGTGTAAGGTGTGCCGTGGGAAAATTACTTTATATATAG